CACTCTCGCCTGCATTTCGCGCACTCGACACGCACGATCTCCGCAGAGGGTTGCGCGGGCAGCCGGCAAATCGCACTCTCGCCTGCATTTCGCGCACTCGACACGCACGATCTCCGCAGAGGGTTGCATTTTCGGTTGACGCTGTTCGTCCCACCCTCCGCCTTTAAGAGAGAATTTTATAAAGTGGGGAAATGTTTTTCATTAGGACATCTCCCGTGCTAGTTTTCCATGCTCACACTTGCATACTCATTGCATGCTTGCATACTCATTGCATGCTTGCATACTCATCATTGCACTTGCATCATTACACTTGCATACTTTGACACTTGCATACTTTGCACTTGGATGCTTTCGCTCTTCCACTTACACTGGGGTACGTATAGCGTTCATGTGTGTTCATGTCTTCATGTTGTAGTGCAAGTGTGGAAATGTCAGTGTGTAAGTGTAAGTGTCGAAGTGTCACTGTTCAAGGGATTTTTCCGGAAGAACCCTTCGCAATGCTTTCGGGAAAAAAAAAGAAAATGTGCAAAGAGAAAGATAATGTCTAAAGAAGAAAAGGGTCTTAAAAAGAGAATTGAACAGTTACTGGGGAGCCGCGTCTATGTTTGTTCTCGGGACTGTAGTCGCCAGGCTGACTGCACTGCGTCCTGCGCAGCAGCATCATTTGCTGCCAACAGGCTGAGCCTCAGCCGAAGCTCGTGCCGTTGTGTCCAATGTCTTGTGACTAATCTTGGATCGCTGTGTGTACAGTATAATCAGTGTCTGCACTTTATCAATAGACATCAAGGACAAAATGCCCTTTCAGAAAGGTGTTTCCCGTGGATATTCAAGATGCAAAGGCAATGAAAAGCTGCTTTCACACCTTTGTATTCAAACATGTTCTCCTCATGAGAACCTTGGAGAAGAAGGGACTGCTACGTGTTCAACTTGCTTTTCATTCGGTAGGATTGTACCAAAATTGTGGTTCAAACCTTTTTCTTGTATTACTATGAGCATCGAAATTAAGCCAATTCAGAACTGAAATCAGCGAATCTCAAAGACAAGAATCATGGAATGCTGGACTGTCTTGAACTCAAACCATCCAACCCCTGCATCCTGCCACCCTTCTCTTGCAAGCTTGGTACGGTGCATCCTAGAATCTGACATTTGCCAACTGGCAACTTTTTACTTGCAAGAGCAAAGGTTGCAAGTCTCCTGCAGGGTTCCAGAGTTCCAAGCTTCCCCCCGGCCAATCCAAAATTACTGTGCTCAATTTTGGGCTGGAATGATGGCGCCAGAGTTTTTAGTTCCAACTGTCTCTGCTATTGGGAAAAGAGTTTGCACCTCAAATTGTTCAACCCATACAGCCATACATAACAGAGATTAAGCTTGCCCTTACTGCAGTTCCACCACCTTGCATGACAATCACCAGTTGTAATTGATCGCGCTTCAAGCTAGCGGTAAAACAGGCTAACTCATCAGGCAAGAATAAAGGCTAGGCTGAATGGGCTGGGGCCGGCAAAGAGTGGAAGTGTCACCCAAACAGGCCCAACACGTTGACAATAAATCCGCAGCACCTGACAATTTAGTGGATAGTTTCAGCTTGAAAAGGAGTGACTGGAAGCTTGGCTCGTGAAAGACGTGTCAACGAATGAAGCTCTGCACACCTCTCTAAGGGGCCAAACATTTTCGGCGCACTCTGCAACGCAAGCGCACTGCCTTGCCCACTGGGTCGCTCAGCCTTACCGGCACACATGGGCTAGAGGGCCAGCAGGTGCTTGCAGATCCAAAATAGTGTTCAAAAGTTTTTCCGTCCTAAACCAGCCGGCTTACCAGTTGTCGAGCAAAGCTTCCGAAGGTCTTGAAGGCCAAAGGAGTTGCCTTGTGCAATGTTTGTTGGGGCAAGCATTGTCCCTTGTGTCACAGGAGAACTTCATTGAAAATTAAAGTTTAGCATCTGTGGCAAGCTGCCTCGGTTTTGACCAGGAATTCTGAGATGAGCCTGTACCCATTATTCGCCAGCTGCGGATCTATTTTTGGATTTTTTGAGTTTTTCGATGTTCGTTTTTCGTGGGTAAGTGCAGTACTTTGTGGACCTTGAAGTGCAGATTTCGTGGCAGGAGCAGTACTTTGCGGTCCTTGAAGTGCACATTTCGTGGCAGGCGCAGTACTTTGTGGACCTTGAAGTGCAGATTTCGTGGTAGGCGCAGTACTTTGTGGACCTTGAAGTGCAATTGCGTGCGTGGCAAGTGCAGTACTTTGTGGACCTTGAAGTGCAGATTCCGTGGTAGGCACAGTACTCTGTGGACCTTGAAGTGCAAATTTCGTGGCAGGTGCAGCACTTTGTGAACTTGGAAATGCAGATAAAGAGAGAGATAGAGAGAGAGAGAGATAATGAAAGAGAGAGAGAGAGAGAGAGAAACAGATAGATAGATAGATAGATAGACAAATAGATGGATAGATGGATGGATGGATAGATAGACAGATAGATAGATAGATAAATAGATAGATGGATAGATAATCACTGTTGATAGACAGGTAGTTAGATAGACAGATAGACGGATAGGTAAGGTACACAGATATGTATATAGACAAATGGATAGAACAGTGCGAAAAGAAGCTATGTTGAAAGCTGGGTGAGGTTGAAGTGGCCCTCAGCATCCACCATTGTGGGGTTTTGCAGGTCATGTGTCATTAGACATGTTCACGCTACACTAAAGATAAACAACTAAAGCCTTGAAAACCTCTTTGTGGCGTTGTCACAGCTGAGCGAAGGTGGGCCTTATCATCTACCTTTGCGGCGCTGTCAACGCAAAGAAGATAGTGGCTTTGGTACTTGGTCGTCCCGTAGCAATCGTGTAAATTAAGAAGAAAGCGGGAGGGGGCGCGGGGGAGGGCGCAGCACCTCCCCCCGCAATAAAAACAAAGTATCGTCAGCAACCTGGCACTGAAAGCAACCGCCTGAATTAAAAGGTCTGCATGCACCGTTGGACTCGCACTTTCCTCATCTAAATTCTACCTCCGGGTGGCTTACAAACGATTTGCACCTTCCTCCTCTGAATTTTACCCCACAATGAAAACAAAGTATAGTCAGCAACCCGGCACTGAAAGCAACCGCCTGAATCTAAAGGTCAGCGCTGCTTTGAAGCAAGCAATGCCGGGAAAAAGTTGCGCTGCGTCTCCTTTTTTCATCAAAGGTAACCAGGTGTTTGATGAGATAAGACTCCTTGATTGCTTGGTTGTCCCGCGGCAACCGCCCAAACTAAGAAAGCGGGAGGGGGGCACGGGGGAGGGCGCCTCCCCCGCAATGAAAACAAAGTATAGTCAGCATACCGGCACTGAGAGCAAGTGCTGAGTTTAAAAATCTGCAGGCACCTTCCTCATCTAAATTCTACCCCCACGCGGCTCACACAAGATTTGCACCTGCCACCTCTAAATTTTACCCGCGTGTGGCTCACAAAAGGTACGCACCGTTGGAGTGGCAACTGCGTCCTTTAAATTCGACTGACAGCTTCCTCTTGTAGATTGGACGGGAGAAAAACAAAGCGCAGTCAGCAACCCGGCACTGAAAGCAACCGCTTGAATTAAAAGGTTTTCCTCGTCTAAATTCTACCTCCGGGCGGCTTACAAACGGTTTGCGCCTTCCTCCTCTAAATTTGACCCTCAAGAGCAACAAGCCACAAGCCACACACCTCAGAAGCCCTCGTCCTTGCTTCCTTCCTGCCTGCCTTCCTTCCTTCCTTCCCTCCTTCTTTCCTTCGCATGGCTAGAAAGCCACGAGAGCCAAAAGCCAAGCGCCGCAGAATCCAAAAGCCACGAAAGCCACGAAACAGAATCCAGAAGCCGCGAGAGCCACGAAAGCCAGAAGCCACACAGAATCCAGAAGCCACGAAAGCCACGAAAGCCAAAAGCCGCACAGAATCCAGAAGCCACAAAAGCCACGAAAGCCAAAAGCCACGCAGAATCCAGAAGCCACGAAAGCCAAAAGACAAACAGAATCCAGAAGACACGAAAGCCACGAAAGCCAAAAGCCACAGAAGCCAGAAGCCACGAAAGCCGCGAAAGCCAAAAGCCACAGAAGCCAGAAGCCACGAAAGCTACGAAAGCCACGAAAGCCAAAAGCCACAGACGCCAGAAGCCACGAAAATATAAGGACCGATAACCCCACATGTTAAGCTTGTAAGAACTATCAACATCAACGAGAAGTAGGGACTGATAAGAAAAGAGGACGGAAAGATACTGGACGATAAGAGTGAATGAGATGAGTGGTGTGTGATGAGTGGTGTGTGATGAGTGGTGTAAGATGAGTAGTGTGTGATGAGTGGTGTGTGATGAGTGGTGTAAGATGAGTCGTGTGTGATGAGTGGTGTGTGATGAGTGGAGTAAGATGAGTGGTGTAAGATGAGTGGTGTGTGATGAGTGGCGTAAGATGAGTGAGTGGTGTGTGATGGGTGGTGTAAGATCTGTGGTGTGTGATGAGTGGTGTAAGATGAGTGGTGTAAGATGAGTGGTGTGTGATGAGTGGTGTAAGATGAGTGTTGTGTGATGAGCGGTGTGTGATGAGTGGTATGAGATGAGTGGTGTAAGATGAGTGGTGTAAGATGAGTGGTGTGTGATGAGTGGAGTAAGATGAGTAGTGTGTGATGGGTGGTGTGTGAAGAGTGGTGTAAGATGAGTGGTGTAAGATGAGTGGTGTGAGATGAGTGGTGTGTGGTGAGTGGTGTAAGATGAGTGGTGTGTGATGAGTGGTGTGCGATGAGTGGTGTACAGGGTGCGGCTGCTGGAAGCAATCACTGTGCTGTGAGTGGAGTGTGGCTGCGAGTGCCGTGTATGCATAGCATGCTGGACGGGCTGTCCGACAGGCACTGGGGACAGCGGCGATGAGTCGAGCAAAGCAGGAACCCAGCGCGGGTTGGGAGAGATCAGATCTGGCTCTGCATAGGCAGCTTAATCAGCTCTGACACAAGCACCAAGGATGAAAACTCAACTGGCACCGTCGACTGTTTGGTTTGAGAGCAAGAAAGCTGCAGGGTCTCAGCGTTGATCAGATGCTGGGGGAACTCTTTTGTTGAACACAGCTGGCGCGCCAGTTAAGGGTTATACAACGTGTATAAGTGTGGGTATGGCGCCTGTCTCCTATGCGCAACACGGCGCAGTGCATCGGGCGAATAGGGAGTTTTTTTCCCCGCGTCACTATGCGGGGTTCTTGTTTTTCGCCCTGCGCTCGACGCTCCCTACGCGGGGTTCGCCGCTCCGTACGGAACTCCTCCGCCCTCCTCCTCCGCCGCCGCCTCCTCCATCGAATCTTACTCCACTCATCTTACTCCACTAATCTCACACCACTCATCTTACACCACTCATCTTAACCTGGAGCGCAGATTTTGTGGCAGGCGCAGTACACAGAGCCTTCAGGAGGACTGGGTCGCGTGGGCGCCGCTGGGCTGCGGCTGCCTTTCCTGTGGCAGGGGCAGCTTGGTGAACCTGGAGTATAGATTTCGTGGCAGGCGCAGTGCACAGAGCCTTCAGCAGGACGGGCGGATGCGCGGCCGCGGCTGGGCCGCGGCTGCCTTTTGTGTGGCAGGCACAGCACTTGGTGAACCTGGAGTGCAGATTTTGTGGCAGGCGCAGTACACAGAGCCTTCAGGAGGACCAGGTGGCGCCGCTGGGCCCCGCGTGGCTTTCATGTGGCAAGCGCAGTATTTGGTGAACCTCGAAGTGCAGATTTCGTGGCAGGCGGCGCAGACTTTTTGGCAGGGGCAGTGCACAGAGCCTCCCGGACCAGCTGCGGCACGTGATCACCACTCATCACACACCACTCATCACACCACTCATCTCACACCACTCATCACACACCACTTGCTATGCTACATGGTCGACTTAATAGGAGGCAAAGGCCGGCTAGTTGGATTTGCCTTGGGGTTGGCCAAAAGCCTTTGATTGGTTTATGATGCAAGGAGATGACGGGAAACATCAAGGCACTTCCTGCATTCTTTGTAACTTTTAGTTCTGCTAGGAGAGGGTAGACCTGGATAGATCGAGGCCATGAAAGGATATGCGTGGGTTAATGAATGCTACATGAGGTTGCGCGGCAATGGGCGGATGTAGACAAATCAGCGTGCGCGCACTGACGGCAAGCTTTTGCCTAATCAAGACCGTTTTGAACACAGACTTCGAGGTGGAGTGTAGGTGTATTTGATTGTATTTGTGGATTTAGATAGATAGATGTGCCTACCTCAAGTCTATATCCAGGCTCTTGGGCACGGCTAAAGTAATGGATTATGATTACGCAAGCACAGACCCTAGACTACAAAAAGACTTTGGTGGGCAGCACATTGCAGCGGCGCTGTGCAGCGCCCGCCGGCATCGCCAGCACCCAAGGTGCAAAGCGCATACATCATACGGCCACACATCCGGCAGCGGCACCAGTACCCAAGTTCCAAAGCGCACACGGCCACACTTCTGGCAGCGGCCCTGCAGTGGCACCAGCACCAAAGCTCCAAAGTGCACGCGGCCACAGATCTGGCAGCGGCGGCGCCAGCACCAAAGCTCCAAAGCGCACACAGGCACTTCTTCCTATACTTGAAGTAAGAACCCCAATAGCTCTCGCTATCTAGAGAAAAATGGAGTGTTTTGCGGCATGTATCTTCATGGGTTGACAAGTGGATTCATGACCAATTTTAATCAATTTGGTGTGTTCGGCCTTTACACATCATCCTCCAAGCACTCTGGCACAGGTGCTTGTCGTTGCCAAGCGACGTGTATGACGCAATTGAGCGTCGTGTCGTCCTGTTGACCACAAAGACTAGTCAGCCCACTAGTATATCTTGCACGTCAAAACGAGATGCAGTGAAAATCCAAAAGCAAAGGAAGCAAACAGGAAGCGAAAGGCTCAAAGGGCGGACATCCCTCAATAGAAGAAGGCCAGCTCTTAAGGTTTTAAGCCCAACAAATAAATCGCCTGAGTTTGGGAAAGGGCGCCTCTGGTTCGGAAGGCTTTGGCCACAACACTTCGCAACATACACCTGCTGTGGAATCTGCTCCGGGACCTGTTTCGATCTGCTCCATTGTCTTTTCTATCGCTAAAGACCCCTATATAGGCTTCCCTGTTGGGGAACAATGCAGCTATCTCAAAGCCTATCAGTGTTGCTACCTCTTTGCAACACCTTCAATGTGGATGGTGGTCTTCAGGCTCTATCTTGCCCCCGCCTGTGAACAATTTCCAACCACAAATGGCAGCCAAGCTACAGTGCCCATCGCGATGACGCCGCCACCAGGCCAAAAAACCGCTTCAACCTCGCAAGCTGAAGCAGTGTGTCTTCCAATTTCAGGAAGTCACTGACACAAAAAAAAGAAACATGTACAGTAAAGTTGTTTGTCCACAATTCCATGAAGGCGGCGGCGAAGTAATCAGCTTGCACAAAACAAGGTGTGGTGGGGAAGGGTTGGCTGGTTGCTCTTCAAGGTGGATCTGGGTCTGGGTCTTTCTACCGAGACTTGAAAGGTGAGCGTGATTTTACATGCACCTGCGTTAAAACAATCAGCCTTCACCGGGATATGTTCATCTACTTGACCTGTTCAAGCTCCTCTCGGCGACCGTCGTTCGCGTGTACGAAAATGGGAGGGACAACTCAAAGGGTGCGGACAAGGATAGGGATCAGCGGCCGTCCTTCTTGGCATATTTCTCTGCTTTCAGCCTCACTTTTGGCCCTGGTCTGCTATCCATGTACGTTCTTCGCCTCGCTCATCTCTCCGCCTGCTCTTTCCACACCTTTTTTGAGCTGTTTGCGACTGGACACCGTCATTGCTAAGACGGCCCGTCTCCTCTAGCTTTGGGATCCCCTCCGAGGGGTCAAGTTGCGTTGCCCATTTTGTAGTTACAGAATGCCTCGCACAAGGTCCTTTTTGGCCAGGGACACTCTACAAAATGGGAAACTTCAAACGGGGAAAGAAAATTTAGCAGGGCTCCATACAGTTCATGACGCATTCTCTAGAGATGCAAACTTTTACAAGCGAGCTAGATTTGAAACTGGCAAACAAAACTTTTGCGACCCATTTTGTAGAGACAGCCATCAAGGTTGGGGAGGGCTTGGATCCTTTTTTGACTTGAATTCAGTTCGTTCTACCCAATTGAACGCAATTGTTGCGTTTGTGCTTTTTGATGCTTTTGTCTATATCTGCCATTGTTGATCCATGTGCTTGCCTTCATCTTCTACTTGTATAGGAGCCAAGACAAAGCCGCAAAATCCACCCTAAGTACACACGTTTCTCTACAAAATGTCGAGACTTCACCTTAAATAGGAATGTCTACATTTGTCTACAAAATCACATGCTCGTAAATCAGCATGCCGTGGGTACCGGGTACTACTCAGATTACCCTTCTACAAAATGCATCAAAATGGCACACACGAAAACACCAAACAAGTTTCCTACAAAAAGGATGCCTTTTCTCAGTGGTCAACCCATCCCATGTTTGTAGAGGAAACGTACAGCGGTATGCTTTGGGTGTTTTTGTTATATAATGTGTCCAAAAACTCTGTTCAATCCAGAAAGGTAGTTGAGCCGGCTTGAAACCTGCCCATCAAAGTCTTAGCTGGGCAGCCCTCTCAAGTTTGTTTGCTGCGACGTCGTTGTATTTGGAGCAACCAGTGGGAATTGAGCAGGTCTCGCACGCAAGAAACATGGTGAATTTGATTGCAAGGATGGCAAAGTACAGTCCGCCTGTAGATTCCCGCCGAATACGCTTTCTACCTTGCCTTGCCAATTGATTTCCTTCATGTTGACATGCACCAGGGTGGCATCACCTCGAGGTTGCCATGGTTGCAAAGTCTGAAAAACAAGCTGCGCACGAGCACATGCAACCTGCTGCAAGAAGATGCAGGGCTGTGCATTCCTGTACACAAGGTTCCACAGAGTGCTTCTGGTATCGGCGCCCAGCCTTTAATGAGGACTTGGAACCTCGACTCAAGGTCTGCGCCAAGTCAGCACGCCCCTAAACTTCAAGCTCAGAGATGGATGTGAGCCACCAACCTTCATTGCGATGGCACACCTTTCGGCTAGATGGACATTCCGTCATTCCGTCAGGTGGCAAAATCTTCCACCGCACTTGACCCTACTTGTGGAGTCTGAGTTCATGCACCTCACCTAACTTCTAAGGATCAGAAGTCCAAGGCCACATCAAGCCATTGTGTAATGCAGTAATGCCCGTAAAGAGCTGCCTTGAAACCCTGAAGAAACGAGAATGCCCAGGAAACGATGATGCAGAGGTCAATGAGCAACTAACAGGACACTTTGCACGGGTTTCCTGAAACTGAAGCGATGCTGGCGCTCAAAATGTTGTCGGCACAAATGCTGCGCGTCTTCATGGGATCCACGAGGTCAGTGGGAAAAATGTGGCACGACTTCCGCCACCGTGGTACACTGGCGCAACAAAAGTCACGCTGCTCTGGGAGGTAGTTCAACACAGAACACACGGTTTCATGGTTGTGAACATGAAACCACAGTTATTTGGTTTTTGCAAGTTTAAGTAAATGAGTGAGTGCGTCGTGTGTGAGTTCATGTTCGGGCAAGTGAGGGAGGTGACGGAACGTATATGGACAGCGAGCCAACAACTGAAGTGTGGGAGGGGGAGAGAGAGGGGGAGAGAGACAGAGACCAGAGTCGGCCTACCAAGCCACCCAGGCTACCAAGGTAAACCAAGCTACCAAGCCACAAAACGGCAAGTTACTAGCTTTCGTAATTGTTGCTGCACCTCTGCTAGTATCTTTTCACTCGTCTCGACCAAGTTCTCCGGATCAACCTGAGCTAGCTGTAGGGCAGGCAGGCATGTGTTCACCAGACCTCCAAAATCAGCTGGCGGCTGTTTCAGACAGCACCAATGCCAGTTGCAAAGCACTTTGCTGTACCTTCCAACAAACATGATGGCGCCCGCGAACCCAAATCAACAAACGCACTTGAAAACAAACTGCCAAACATTGTTTGACACTCTTGTGCGACACTCTTGTAGGAGGCACTCTTGGGGAAGACTCTTGTAGGACACTCACTCTTGTGGGACACTCTTGCTTGCAACTCTTGTGCGCTCTTGTGGTGGTAGGACACTCTTGGAGGACACTCTTGTAGGAGACACTCTCAGAATCTCCTGCGTCAAGTCTCCAGAAAAAATGTTTCGTACCACACGTCTTCCAAAAAGTCAAGCGTCAACAAGCGCTTCGTACGTGACCTCCTCCAAAGGTGAAGCGGGAAGTCTCCTCAGAGTGAGCATATCAAGCAGCCCTGCCTCCTCCTCAAAAACCACAGCGGCTGACACGCCAATCGCACAGTGACATTCACCTCCACCAAGCGTCACAACCTCACGGCTCCCTGCACCTGCCACGAAAACTCAACTTCGACACGTCCAACATGCACAAAGTACCGCACCTGCCGCGAAAAATGACGACATGACAACTTCATGTCTTCAACAATATTTGCACCACTCCGTGCGCTTGGAGTGACTTCGACGCTTTCTGAGCACACTCATAGCTGAGACTTGCCACGAAAACACAGCTTCGAGGCAGCGACATCCAATCCCAATGGTACAGCGAATGCAACTGAGGGTCTCACGAAACGCTGCACCTGCACAGCAAAATTACCCTCCACACTTCAACATGTCCCCGTTTCTGCGCTATTTCACACGAATCTGACACTTCAGGCTTCCATCCAAAACCTGCTCCAAAAGCTTCCCCCAATGGCACCGCCCTATCGATCACATCCGGACGGTTGTGAACACGAAGCCAACATCACCGCTCTACCCCAGACCCCGAAAAATAAATGGAACCCTTTGCTGCGCATTCGGGAAAAAGAAACTTGTGATTGGGCTTGACACAATGATAAAACTCGTTGGTGCTGCAACCATAATGTTTTCATGTGCCTGCTCGTTTTCACGAAGGCTCTGCCGAATCAGGTGCACCACCTCAGTGCTGAAGAAGGGTGCAAATCGGCAAGGATCAAACCGAGCAAGTATATAATTAGAACCACAGACCTGTCCCTAAAGCGATCCTCTGCGCAGGGCATGGATCAGGATATATATATATATATATATAGTAGTTCTGGGAAAAAATAGGTCCCTGCAAGGCAACTTGAAAGGGAAGTGTATGACCTTATAAAATTTGGTTCTAGTTGGCGTGTTCGAAGCTGGGGTGAGGGCATGTGCCACTAGAGATGGCCCAATGCCACGGGAGCGTTGCAGTAGCACGAGCACCTGAAAGGATCTTGAGTTGGAACGGATTGAAAGGCCCAGCCTGCCGGTAGCAATCAGCGACTTTGATGGGCCATGACCTTGTGTCTCAACTTGGCCGGAACAGACACCTTTGTTTCAACCTGGTCAGCAACTTGCGGCAGAAGAAACCTATGCCTATGCGTGCTTTTTCTCACAGCTCGCATGTTGCGTCGCACGTACGTCTTGCCACGTTGCCTTGAGAGGACCTGAGGCATCTTCTTGGCCCGGCGGCGCAGAGGTGAGACCCAGGCAGATGAGTCCTTGCACGACATAGCAGCTTAGACAGCAAATGAAGAGGAAAGGAAGGGACTCTAAGGAGGGTCGCTTGGGCAGCCCAAGGCAGTCCAATTTCATTCCTTCCTTTAACCCTCATCTCTCTCTCTCTCTCTCTCTGAGGGTCTCGACGGCCAAGAAGGTCCAAATCGTTATCCATATCTAGCCTGATCAGGAACGAATTTGAGAGATGCAAGGGTCATCAACAAGCAAAACTCAGACTCTTGGCTCACGGCTCCAAATCCAACCGTTTGCAGTTGCTTTCGGCCATATTGGATACCTCGGATCTGGGCCTACGCAAGCCAGCCAAGGAGGGATGCAAAAAGAAAACATTTGCATCTGGGAGTCTGCGTCATAGTTCTCCACCTCCCAGGCAATATCTTCAAATATCGAATTGGTTGAGTCAAATTTGAAACTTTCATTATTCTTGGAGCGCCACTGATGCTACCAGGGATGGCAAGTAGACTAAAAAGGCAGGAGGCTCGGCGCCTTGTGCTTGGACAAATGCCCCTTCTACCACGAAATGGTCTGACAAACTGAACATGTTTTTGGCTTCCCTGCCAAGCGATGACAGCCACCGAAGCACTGTGCACTTGAGCCCAACCATCTCTGCAGCTGCTTTTGACTTGAGGCGAGACTTCCAGTGTGACCAACCTCACTCATTGCTCTGAAAGGTTTCAGCGCTAAGCAACTATGCCTGAGCCTGCTGCTTGCGGACGGCAACCCACCTACAGAAGCGGCCTCGAGACTTCAAACGATGTGACAAGCAAAGCGTCAAACCGCAATCAGGCCTCCGTTGCCCCACAAGGGATGAGCAAAAACTCAACAGCGGACTGGAAAAAGGCAGCAACCTGGGTCTGGTACAAAGGTGGCAGAAGAAAACAAAAAAGAAATTGCCCAAGATATTCCAAGATGATTGTGTGTTGTATATAATATCATATTTGTTTGGTAGTCATAGGTACCTATCAACTGTGACATCGACCCCGTCTTGCGGTGAAGTGGTGGCAACCATTGCCCTTGTTGCCTCAAATTATTTTCCAACCAACCAGCATCACCATCAGCGACTTGTTGCCACTAGAATTTGATTTCTGAAACCCTGCCAAAATTGCTAGCTCGTGTTTTGTATACAACAACTGCCTAGAGCTTACATGTAAAACGTCAGAGAGGTTGGGCAGGTAGAGCTAAAGCCTATTTTTTCAATTGTCGACTTGCTGTGAAAATGACAAGTTTGCCAACATCATACTCTAACAAGGATTGGCACCTGTGAAAACCTTTTGCGCAGTCGCGTTTTAGCGGAGGGTTTGCACTTAGACGCGTGCTACCCGCAGTGGTAGCGGAGTTTGAAGCTGCTTAGAATATTAGCTTGCTAGCCCGCCATGTCAGGAAGCAAAAGAGAAGACGTTGTTGCCAGAAGAACTCTGGCAACCTTGACCGGGTGAAGCATGCCTGTGGCAGGTAGCTTTGAGACGGAGGTGCTCAGGGAGAAGCAGTGAAGATCATTAGACAATTGTCTAGACCAGCTCGGGCAGTGGCCCAGATGATGGGCAAAAACGGCACCAGCACCATCCTGGAGACGCTGAAGGACATTTTGATCCATACACGGAAACAGCTGTCCCAGGCCTTTTGGCGACGCCCGCAAGAGCAAGGAGCTGCTCCAGGAGTACGTGATCAGAATGGAGGCACCCCTCAAAGATTTAGCAGATGAAGGTGTCGCGCTCAATGACACCGTGAAAGACTATACGCTCTTAGACAAGCCAATTTGAGCCGGGCTCAATCACAGACTGGACGAGCGGAAAATATGAACGAGATGCCATCATCAAGGCACTGCGGCGCCTCGAGAAAGTGACCAAAGAGAAGGAGGGGTCATCACAAGACATACACAGTGGAAGAAGCGCAGGAGGATGACCTGGACTTCGTGTGGATCAGTGACAGAAAACGCGACCAGATCTTCGAGGAGCCAGAGTTGCAAGAGGCCTTAGCGACGTACCATGAAGTGACGAAGTGAAGAGAGACCTTTGCAAGCTCAGAAGACGAACAAACACTTGGCAGTCAGGTGGACAGGGGCGTGGGAAAAGGGGGAAGGCCTTTTCAAGCTCAACCCCCTTTTGAAGGCGGGATGATGCAGGATCTCACAAAGCGCACGTCGATATGCTCAAGCTGAGGACCAAGTGTGCAAGATGTTGGGCGTTGGGTCAAGGGCTGCACGGGTCAGCCAGGCGCTGCTACAAAGCTCGACCCTCAGAGGGTTCTCAGTCAACGACTCGATCTGGCTTCTCTAGCCTGTCACCTGCGCCTGAGAGCAATGTGTTTTGGCAGTAAAAGGGTAGCACTGCAGTGGAACCGGGACAATTGCACGACTTTAGGCCGAGGCAAGCGCCATCGAGGTGGACAAGCCAAATTCACACCGTGCCCGAATGAGAGCGCGAAAAAGAGGCTGACAGCTGGCTTAACTCTCCGGGAAGTCTTCGTTGCATCGACGGGCCTCGTGAATTCGGGTTTGGCGTCGCGCTCCCGCGACAAATTGGTTTTCCTTGGGCTGGCCCGCCCGAACACGCCCTTGGCCGTTAGCCTTAGCCGGCAACTACACAAACAACTCACCAATCCTCGGACCAACACCAGCAGCAGCACTGCGCGAGCCACCCCAGATGCCACCAAGAGTCAATGGTCAGGGGGCATTTTCACAACCGTGGCAGGCACGCGCGCGAGTTTTTCAAGAGGAGGAGCTTCAGAAGCAGGAGGAAGCAATCAGGAAGTGCAGCTGACAAAGACTCAATCAACGAAGTGCAGCTGCGGAACCTCAGGGGCCAAATGCTGTGGATGAGCTGCGTGGAGGAGAGGATGCAGAGAGCCACCAATATCAGAAGACCATGCAGCAAGCCCTGGAGGTGAGGAGGAACATAGAGGAGTCCAAGAAGGGCCAACTATGAAGAATGGACAAAGCCATCAAGCGCAGCTTGAAGACCCATGACAAAGATGCCCTGCGTCAGAGAATTTCACCTCATCTTTGGCCACGGTTTTGCCAACCACTTTGGGAGAAGCACCAGATCTTTGCCACCATTAATTATGGGGCTACCTCAGGATGGTAACCATTGCCAAAAAGTTTCGTCGGACACGACCGGTGGGTAGGCCCCGATACCTTGATCCTGACAGAAGGGCGTGGCGCCTGGGTCGGCAAACTATGGCAGGAGGAGTGGAGCAGATTTTGCAGGGCCAGTTGCGAGGAGGAAAAAGCTCTGGGACTGTTGAACGGACCTCACAGCGTAGGATAAGCCCCATGAAAGTGTAGGCACTGATGGGAGGATGAGGCTGGAAGACCGAACAGGAGAGATTGAAGATATGCGTGATTGAGAGCCCAGCAAGTGAAGAACCTTTAAGGCCGCAGGAAACTTTCCAGCCAATCTGACAGAAGCTGAAGAGCATTCGATGGAGGCCATATCATGAGGAGTTCTACCTACCTGAAGTCAATGCATGAGAAAGCACAAGATCACGCTGACGACTCCGAGACAACCAAGCCATTTAAGCCGCAAGGGCCAGATTGCTCAGTTGCAAACATCTTTCGGAGGTGGATTCGACACACCTGCGATGGAGCACGAAACTGAGAAAACCCCTAGGGGAAGGAGAAAAAGGAAAGAGGAGAACCTCGTCGCAGTTCCATCTCAAGGGCAAGGCCAACGTCAGTGAAGAGCTGAAGGGATGGCTGGTAAAGAAAGGAAGCGAGCAGGTGGATGAGGACTCAATCACACCGGCTAAGCGGCCACAATGGAGGCAGGCTGATGGAGAAGAGTGGGAGGAAGTGTTCAACACCAGCGCGAGCACCTCAAGGAAGCACAAAGGAGGTCTTCCAGTGCGAGTGGCATCGGCATCGTTATCATCATCCTTGAGGTGAACGACCCTCTTCAGAGCCAGGCCCGGATACCTTTATATAGTGGATATGAGGTGCTTCTGGAGCAAGGACGCCGCCCAAAAGGAGAAAGACGACACCAGGCCTGCAATTGGAGCGGCTGCTGCTTCATTGGGGTGTCAAGGCTTGAATAAGACAGGTCAAACAGCACAAGGACATGGTGGTTCAGATCCAGCTCGTTCAAGAGGATCGCCTTTGCTCTGGTGCCATTACTGACGCTTCGTGGGCAAACGCCACCAATGGCAACTCCCAGGGAGGATTTGCAGCCCTTTGCTATGATGAGGAGCTTGTTCAGACTGGGATTGCACCGCACCAGGGAACTTGCGGCGCTAGGGGTTGGGCAAAATGCACAGAGTGGTGAATTTAACTTTTGCTTCCGAAGCTCAGAGCATATCAAGGGGGGCTCCAGGAACTGGCACGGACCACGATGCACAACGATCTCACTCAGCCAGAATTTGAGCACCAAAGGTGGGAAGAAACCATCAAAGAAGAGAAGGCTCCACGCCTTGTCACACTACGAGGTCGATGAGAAGCTGCGCCATGGACTTTGCCTTGTGGACGCCAAGTCCCTGTTCGATCACCTTGTGAGAACCACGGTAGGAAGTATGGAAGATTGAAGGACGGCAGTTGGGATGCAGTGCATTCGCCAGCTGATGCAGGAGACAGGTGCCCCGTGTAAAGTGGGTTCGTCGCGAGCAGATGCTTGTGGGTTGTGTAACGAAGAGATTGGGTAATGTGGCACCACTCAATGTTCTTCAGAGTTGCATTTTGAACTGTGATCAAATAAAATTGTTGGGCATGTGTGGGAACCTTCTGTGCAGTTGCGTTCTAGTTGACCACAGTTGAAACGTGCGGCTTCTTGCGATACTGAACTCTCAAGACCACAGGGCGATCGCATGGCATCGCCGAGAAAAGTCTCTGAAGAGCTTTGCACTTGTTTTCCACAGAGGGTTTCCACTTACCCACAGCACCCAAACCTAGTGCGAGCTGTCTGCTCCAACAGTGCAGCTGATTCTGATATGTAGTGATGTAATGACATCTGTGGCCAAGGCTGAATCGTATGAGGAACTTTTCAGAAGCGCCAAACAACGCGTCACCTGGCACACTTCCATGAGTGATCCCACACAAAACATTCAACCACAGGGCACTACAAGTATGTCTTGCTGCCTGCTCTTTGCGCAGTTCGGAAATCTGTCCAAGGCCAGGAATGCAGGAGAGAAAGACAACAATCCTGTCCTGAGAAAAAAGAATATGCATAACATTCTCACAAAGTGCGCAAAGCCGCTGTCCAATCCAGGAAGGAGCTTCCCGAAGTTCTCTAAAGAGTACCTAAGTTTGTCAGGGAATGTTTTCTGAGGCGAATCAAAAAACAGAATTGGCCTCGGACAAGGCTAGATCAATTTGTTCCTGTCAGCAGTTGTGCTTTTGTACACTCACGAGTGCTCTTCTTGAGCATGGTCTACAAGAAGCAACATTGCCACAAGAAATGGAAACTAGGAGCAGTGGTGGTGACATCGCCTTGAGCAACACATGTGGTAGCAAGCATTCGTGCGGTGTGATGTGTATGCTGCTTACCAAGGGGACCAAGTTTGTAGACCTCAAACGGTTTCATCAGCCAGAATTGTTGTCGTGCATGGCAAATAATGTACTGTACTATAGGTTCATGTCATCGACACCCTGAGCCAGCACCCCCACCCCACGACAGGAAGCTAACAGCATAGGAGGACAACTGGACACAAAAGACCCAGACAAACAAACCAATGTTTTCGCTTTTTAGCTTTCGTTTCAAGATAACCAATGACAGGTTCGGACACCCAACCACGTGGCCAGGACATGGACACAGGAGGACACCACCCTGCACCACATAGGAGGACAACAGTCTATATAATTCCAAGACAAATTCGTGGTACATCTGTCCCGAGAGGGCAAATACAGTAAATACAGTCCCCCCAATGTCCTCCTCTCGTCAATCCCAGACTTGCAGAGATGTGAACAGATTCTGAGAGTGGCTGTAGAGAGACTGCTGCATTCTCAAGGAGGTCTGAATGTCTTGGACAGGCGATGTTGGAGAACATTCAGGCTGTCGTATGCCTTCCATTGCGCAACATACAAGTGTTCTATGTTACTTGCACATTACACATTGCAGGTTCCGTAAATGCCTTCCCGGCCTGTGGCTGCAAGCGAGGAATTCCCACATCCAGAAAAATGATGGACCTCACCCAGACCGGAACATGAAAATTTGAAAGGATACGCAGCTGGAAGGCTGGAAGGATTCTTTTGATGTACCACAACTCATCCATAATGCAGAAGCATACAAGGCAAGGCAATGCAATGCACCTTTGGTGGATTAGATCAAAGCCCCCAGAAGGGATGGCTGTCATCCCATGCTCTTTGACTTGACTTTTGTCCCCAGCAAAACTTGTCGGGAGTGCACTGGCTTAAGGTCTTCCAAAGAGTCCCACCAGCATTTTTCCTAACCGAGTCTTTAGCGAAGAAGTTCGCAAAGCACAGTCGCACTCAGGTGTGGGTTGTCAACTTTCAGACTACTACACTGCAAGAAGTGTCTAAAGTTAAAGAATGATCGGCAAGGCCAAACAAGCATTCCGTGTGGTAGATGCCTTGAGACAAGCTTTCAGCCCATGGGAGTTGGCTCAGCTGGTTCTCCTCTTGGCCCACGGCAAGTTCCTGAAAAATGGTCCATTTGGACTTGTGGCCAGTCCAGGTGCAAACCAACCTAGGCCAAAACAAGTCAAATCGATTGCATCGCAACGAAGCAAAGCTCGGGTTGCAGCGTTCCAAAATACTTTGGGCGGGGAGATTGATGGCCTCAATGTCACTATAGACACCCCTAACACATCCTATAACGCGTCGCCTAACGCCATGTCAGGAGCCCTCAACGCCTACCAGGCCCACAAGGCACACACCGTATTGCCCTTTGCTCGTGTGAGCACATGGTTCAAGATGTTGACCAGCTTGGCCCGCAGCGTTGAGTCCTTGGTTGCTCAAAAGAGCGGGATGAAGCCGGACAAAGCTCCCTCCAAGACTCTGAGGAACCTTGCTGTCTGTGAAAGAAGCTCGTCAAAGACCAAGGGTAACCTGGTCAATTCTTCCTACAAACACAAAGGCCCATACTCTCCTGTTTATCCATGTCACAACTTCGCGAGAATTGGACCAAGCTTGTCATCATCAGCGCAAATTAACCTGAAACCATCTTGCACCAACGTTGGACCCTCTGTGAGAATTCTTGGCCTGCGCAAGGCACTATCCTCAGTTTACGCAGAAGCTTGTTTTGACTTCAAGAATACGGTTCATGATTGGTTGCAAAAACATTGCTGAGGACTCTACATACTGATCAGACATATCGAATTGTTTGCATGACTTATTGACTCAAGATCTGGAGTCCACACAAGGCTATTGCTGTGTCTCAAAAGGGGAGTGCTTTCAAACTTTCTGTTGTCAACATGCAGTAAATCAAAGATCACATGAGTCTCGCAGACTGCACATATATGCTCTGTCCACTTTGATCTTCAGCCACATGGCGTTGGTATTTCACAGCTGCACAAAGACATCTCAAATTGCAATCAGCCATGCGACCTTTTCAAAGCACAGCAGCGTGAACTCAGAACCACTGAAGGTGTCCACTTGTAAACGTGCCAGAAAAGCATCAAAGACTCACCCTGGACAAACGAATTAAAACTGAATTAACTATATACATTCTTGGTCCCCATCAAGCACATGGGAACAGTTGCAGAATCCGCATTGAACAACCTTTGTAGACAAGCTAGCAGCTAGAAATAAATTGCATCATGGATTCTTTCAATTGAATTCAAAGCTTGATAAGCTGCAGCCACTGGCAATGCACTTTGCAGGAACTTCTCCGAGTCAAGCTCCGTAGAGTCCGTGTTGTTGTCTGGCATGGTAGCAATCTAGCTCCACTCAAAGAGCCATTTCCCATGCAAAACTCATCCTCTGTGGAGCTTCTGGCCATATTCGTGTTTTATATACTGTTATTGTTCACGATCGTCCGGGCCCAGAGTCTTGTGCACACTTGATCTTCAGCTTACAGGGTGACAGGTGATATTTGTTGCTCAGCTCTCCAACCTTTGTTTTGCAATGCTCTCAGGATTTAGATGTTTTTCTTTGAATGATTAGAGCACGCACTTGCGTCTCTGAGCATGCCGCAGAACGCTTGACAGGCGCAAGCTTGAAATATCCTTGGCCTGTCTATATAAGTCCAGGAACTGATTCACGTGTGGTGTTGAGTGCTTTATTCGAACAAATGATACATGAATTCGAAAAAATGGTCGGTGTCCTCATCCAAGAAACGCGACGGACCTTACTGCAAGGTGGCTCACAAGTTGCAAAAGCATCTCTGAAGTGCAAACATCTTTTTGATCGAATAGCTCTGTGTGGTGGTTCTGAATTGATTACAAAAGCCAATTTAACTCATGGGGTCCACACTGGTGGAAAACGTGCCATCATGAAGTTGTCCATCGCCTCGCCGGGTGTCAAAGATTGCACAAACATTGCTTAGCAGCTTAGCAATCTTAGTGAGTTCAGCGCATTTTAGGTTCAGTGCTTCTTTACTTGGCTCAGTGCTCGAATAGCCTGGAAGAACGGTGACAGACAGGTCCTGAGCTGCATTTTGGTGATCTTGGGGTTCACATTCTGAATGGTCAATGCAAAAACACGACACGGACTAGCTGACATGTCTTTAAAATGGAAACTAAAGGCATCCAAAAGCTATCAAACAATCTTCTCAATATGAATCGCATGCGTCGATCACTATCTTTCCTTATTATGGAGTATGTTCAATTGAGATGAAGGCATCAAAAAAGGAGTCGCCAGCAAAAGTTGCAGCGAATCCAGAGTGTGCACTGTAAATAAATGCACAAAATCTGGCACGATACAAAACAGTGTTGAAGGTTGACCCTGAGGTTGGGCTAGCCCCAAAGAACTGAAGCTAGAACTCAGCTCCTTCCACAAGCGATATTATCTCCCATGGGGCATTTGACGCGTCATGCCGGGCAAACGCAGCAAACGCCAACATCCAATACCTCTGGCAATGCCCCTTACCTAAATTGGCATCCCAACGCAACAAAATACTGTCAGGCACACTAGTGCACTATCTGTACTAGTCTACTTTGAAACTGCAAGCCTCCCTTGTCGCTATCGCACACCACTGGGATGTTGGTAACTTCCCTTTGTTACGTTTGCCATTCGCAGCTTAGAGTCACTGCAAAAACCGAAATCTTGCTGACATTGGCCGTATTTGAACACACCTAAAGAACCGCCAGTACCCTCATGACTAAAATGTCATTCATACCAATGTGTTAATGCGATTGACTACCAGGATACCGGCGGCTGTTGGCTGCCGACGGATTGTTAGCGCCAAGTGGCTACAGGATCAGAATCTGACTTGCCAAACTTTCGTTTCCGAACAGTATATAGTGATCATATATATGGTACCCCCAAACAACAAATCCCTTTCATTAAATTTACTTGTATTACGATGTTTTATGCATATTTTTGGGTATAAAGAGTCCAATTCTAATACAAAACGAAGCACGTTGCAATTCAAAAATAAAACAATTGAAAAAAAAAACATATATATATATATAAGAAGATATCCCCAATGACAACCAGCAACAATGAATAAACCAAAACAACCAAAAAAATAGAAAACACAAAACTTTGACGAGAATATTTGGTTCAGCCTCAAAAGATGATTGGTTGGTTTTCATTGTGTTTTTTTGTTTTTTGGTGTTGAAATCAAAAATCAAAAGAAAAACTTATGTTTTTTGTTTTTTGAAGGTTTATGGTTGAAGAAGACTATCAAAAAGCAAAAACCACAAGTTGTTTGTTTTTTGATGATTTGCTATGAAAAACCAACCATCAAATACTGAAAACACACACCCAAAAAAGAACGTGTTTTTCGTTTTTGTCAGTATCCTTGTACGATAAGCCTGCAAAAAAAAACACAAGGTGTTGGGCTTTTTGCTTCAAAACAAAAAACAAAAAACACAATGAAAACAAATACAACCTCTTTTGATGCTGAACCAAACATTCTCCTCAAAGTTTTGTTTTTTTGTTTTTTGGTGTTGTCTGTGCTTTGGTCCTTTGGGCTTTTGCACAATCTGTATAATTTTATTGGGCTTTGATTTAGATGTGACTTGAAGTATAATCAAATGTTCATTGAAATTTACTTTTCGCTTATTTCCAATGGACTTCAAAGATTAATCCAATTTCTGTTTTAGTGCTATACAGTTTTAGCCTATTTTTTGAAACCAAAATTGATCTCAATTCATAAAATGGACCCTTAATTATAGTTTAAATCTGTTGAACTCTAACTTATTAGCGTTTTATTGTTTGGATCTAACTTAATTCTAAATTTAATTTTGCAAAATCGAATTTGAACCTGATTGAATTCAATCCCATTTAGTTCTATTGTAAATGTCATTTTAATTATATGTTTATTCAAGTCTAATTCTGATTCAATATTACAGTAATTGAATTCTAATCGAGCTGCAGGTTAGGCAATTCTATTTCAGTTCTATCTTAATTCCAACCCAATTCTATTTGAAAAAATGAAATCTAGATTCAATCTTAGTTTAATTCAAATCTAGCTTATATCTAATCTATTTCGAAGTTAGTTCTAATTTAGTTCTACGTTAATTGACAAATTTGTATATATTTCAACCTATTTGTAAATACTTTTAGTTTCAACTAGCTTAAATCTTATACATTTCCATTTTAGCTGTGTTTAAATTCTAGTTTAGTTATATGTTGATTTACAAATTTAATTCTGATTATACAATTCTAATCTTAGTCTTAATTCGATTCTAGTTCGATGCAAATATATATCGAATTCAAAGCAAATTGACTTCTCCTTTAATTCTGACTTATTCTAGAGAAAAGGTTTTGCTGGTGATTTTGAGAAACCAACCTTTAAGGAAGCAACACATACTATATACAAAGCATTCATCTTAAAGGCAACACGCACTGTCTAGAAGCAAATTAGAACTGCATAAAAGCAACAAAATTAGAATAAAAATACAATATAGTTTTATTAGGTGTAAACGTAACCTCCGCAGAAATGAAATTGAAAAGAAACCAAACTTAAAGAGAAATACAAATGCATTGAATTTCGAATAAAACAGGATTATATAAGGATGTTACTCAAAATCAAAATTCAATTGAGTAGCATTTGAAATAGAAATAACATTCAATTACAGTAGAATTAAGTAGTGTTGAATTGGAACTCAATTAAAAATGAATTAGAATTAGGTCATGAATTTCTATCTTTTTTCAGTTCAGTTTCTATGCAATGCAACAGTTACTTCTATTTATGTTCTTTTCAATTTGAATTGTGCGCAGTTTGTGCTTAATTCTAATAGAATTTTATTCTTTGTCTAATTTCTTTTTGCAATTCTAATTTGCTTCTAGAGAGAACGTGCTATTTTAAAATGAACGCTTTGCATATAGTTTACGTGTTTGCATATAGTTTAGGTGATAATTTATGCGTTGGTTTCTTAAAGGTTGTTTTCTTAAAATCACACCCCAGCAAAACCCTTTCTCTAGATAAAGTCAGAAATAAATGAGAAGTCAGTTTGCTTTGAATTAGAAAACGTATGCAATCGAATTAAAATATATATATATATACAGTCAAAACTTAATTCGAAATCAAAACAGAAATAAACTAGAATTTGAAACAACTGATATTGAATTGTATAAGTATAAGATTTGAACTAGCTGAGCTGAAACTGAAACTAAACATGTTTTACAAATAGATTGAAATATAAACAAAAAAGTTGAATGAACATAAAACTAATTAGAACGAACTTCGTGATAAATAAAAAGCAGGTGGTGTATATGTCTTACATCGTGTGTGTGAGCGTGTTTCAATGTGGAATGACACGGGTTGAGAGGCAACAACGAGATTTCACAGCACAGGTTCAACAAGCTAGATAGGGCGCTTCCTGCCCATCGGCACTGCTGAGAACTGCCTAGCATTCTGCAGGTGAGACTTCTGATATAGTTAGTATCCGCGATTTTCGTGCAATTCTGCAGCCTTACACGGTACGAACTCACACGCATTCGCAATAACGCGTGCTAGTTGGCCCTGGCCATCGCCTTTTTGAGAACCCGCGAACCGGAATGCACACACTGGAGTTTGACACTCTTGAAGGAGACACTCCTGTAGAACGCTCATGTGGAACACTCTCGTGCGACACTCTTGTGGGACACTCTTGCGCGGGACACTCTCATGGGATGTAATTATTGTAATTTGGCCACACCCCACACTACATTTCCACTACAAAGTGGCCAGTTCTCAGGCCACAGCTCCCGAAGCTGCTTCGCACAAGATTTGCACTACAAGTTGCCAATTCTGAAGGCACACCTCCCAGAAGGTGCTTCCCGCACTACAGTACTTCTCAGAAGCTCCTCCAAAAGTCACGCGTCAAGTCTCCAAAGCGCTCCCCGTCAAAGTCTCCAAAACAAGTGGTTTGTACGAGACTTGCTTCAAGAGTGAAACGGGGAGTCTCATCAGAGACAGCACATGCTGCAGCCCTGCCAAGCAGTTTCGCAGTCCCAGCCCCTCAAAACCACAACCAATCCCGATGTCACAGCGACATTCACCTCCACCAAACATCGCAACCTCACGGCTCCCTGCGCCTGCCACGAAAATTCAACTTCGATACCTCCAAGACGCACAAAGTACTGCGCCTGCGAGGAAAAGTGAAGATATGACATGTTCAGTCATGTTAATGTCTTCAGCAAAGTGTGCGCCACATCACACGTTTGGAATAATTTCGACACGTTCTCAGCACACTCCCATCCACGAAAGCCATCACTTTAGCTGACAGTGGCAACGAAACACAGCTTAAAAGCAACAGCCTCAAACGCAAACCCCAGTGTCACAGCCACATCCAACACCCCCAAAACAGCACCGCCTAAACGCCAATCTCAATCTGACTGCGAAGAGAACTGGGGATCTCACAAAACTAAAATGCTGCACCTGCTAGTGAAATCACTTGCTTCCACACGTTTCCTTGCTATTTCACGCGAATCTGACACATCATGTTTCCATCCAAAACCTTCTCCAAAAGCTTCGCCCAATGTCAGTGCCATAGCGCCCTACCCGACGGGCGGCGAACAGCGACGAACGGTTGCGGACGGTTGCGGTCGCTACGACAACGAGTCGCGAACAAGGCTCTACCCCCGGACCCCCAGAGTTAAACGAGTTTGGCTTGGCTTGTCTTCAAACCGGCAGAGGCAGAGGTCTCATGTTGGGACCTCGTAAATGAGCTATATAAGTCCTTCTAGCAGCATCAACAAATCACTTTCAATGCCTTCCAGTCCAGTGCATGCTGCATGTCCAAGACTCTGCAACAAACTGCAGCGCCTATGAACTTCGACTAAACGTCTGCAATGCTTTCATTTGACGACTCGACCAACCTAGCACAAAGGAATTCCAAGTTTGCTATACAAACCAAGGAGTCAGTGTGCGTGTCAGGATCAGGAAGCCTGCACTTGTCTTCTTTGACAGTTCACCATAGTTCACGCGCGATGGGGGCAGCCTATTCTGTTCAGCTCACATCTAGTCTATCTTGTTGCGGCTTACTAGCAGGCAAGTGCCGCAATAGAAAGGCCGACGACCAAGGGTTCGCAACAGCATATCTGGCATTTGGACTGCACGGGCTCACTTGTGCAAATGTTACCTTCAATGTTCCGTATTAATATCAGTGTTGGACTCCCGTGGCAGGCACATTGAATTCGGGAACATCTGACCAACTCCGACTTTTAAATGCTGCACATATGGACAACGTCTCGCATAAGAACCCAAGGGAAAGGATTTTGTGAAATTGGAGCTTCAGGTTTCCCTTCATCAAGTGATCAGTGTCATCTGTGAGAGCAACACTATTGGACATATCTCTGACACCGCTGACACCATCGCTCCAGAGCTTACCCGGCGTTTGTTTGCGTTTGGGGCATGAAGCCAAGAATCAGCAAAGTGTGCACCACGTGTTGATTCGTACCTCAGCAGCAGCAACACACTGCACTACGTACGGAAAAGTTTTGAGTGCCTGTGGAATAAGGCTGCAACACGTACCACGGTGAGCCTGAGATCTCATGCATCTTGTCAAAAGACTCACATGGCAAACAACAAGACCCTTAAGCCCCTTCCAAGACACGTTGCAAACAATCAACTCACAGCGCTCACGTTTGCCAACAGTGAGGTGTGCAGGTGCCAAGACCCAATCTTGGCACGGTGCTTAATGCGATTACCGCGCCGCTTACCTGATGATGGCTAGCAAAGGCTTCTAAAGGTCTATATAAGGTTTCACTACATTGTTTAACGTTTGGTCGGTTGGATTGACATCGTTAACTTAAGGCGGTTCGCCTAATTACAGTACATTCTATCCGCCGCCCCAGCCGAAGCAAGGGGGAGCAAGCCCCGAAGACCCAGCCACGCCGTCAAGTGCCATGCGCAAACAAGGTGGAGACAGAGTGAGGCAAATGCTGGTGGCTGCTGAGCAACAACCAACCGGGGTACTGATTTTCACCTTGTTGGCTTGGGGTCGGCATTCCACTAATATTTGTGATTGATTTGGTATGTCAATTGTCATCACAAACCATAAGTTGCCGTCACCAACATGGCCAATGTCGACATGGTTGATTTGCACGCCAGGTCTGCTTCAAGCTTATGGGAAGCATATGTTGACAGCTGGGCGGTGGATGGTTGGGCAGTTGAAAACCTCGGGGATATGAAAGGCAAAACACCACTGCAAATATTGAGATAGAGGTGACAGCTGTGCAAAGAATTGCCTGAACATATTTGCATAGAAACATTCTGCTGCAAACACGGAAAGAACAGCTCGAAAGGCTTGGTGTGAGTGTAAACAAACACATTGCCAAAGAACAACAAACAAGTCTACAATGCTTCTTTGATAGCAACAGAAGGTGACGCGGGCGTGAGGCAAGACCTTTTTCTACTCACAAGAAAGTGTCCCCAACGGCCCCTTTGCCTAGGGCCCACATGATCCACCATGGTCCTACCACCCAAAATGGCCCGAGATGAGTCCGATCGGCTCAACATAAGCCAAAAATGATACCAACATAGCCCAACATGGCTCCCAACACCACTTGACATATGCCACAGGCACAAGACAGGGTCAAAATTGCCTAACATGGGCATACCCAGAACAATGAATGCAACAAGTCCAAATTGAATCAAAAGATCAAGAGCAAAGCTGGCCACATACCATGTTTCATTCTCTCTACAGCAACATCCAACATGGTCCCAACATGTTCGGCACAGATCGGCGCAACTCAAGAGATTGGCCCAACATAGCTCTCGACAACGTTCAACATAGCAAGATACGGTCAACGTAGCCTTACATGGGCATATGCGGCATATCCGGCATACCACAAAACAATGGAATGCAACGCATCCCATATTCACTCCCCAAGAGCAACATTGTACTGCAATTTCCAGTGTTTTCTTCGCTCTGACAGGCCACCCATTTCCCAAGCAAACCTCTGCAAAAAACCATTGGGAAATGCAGTCGCTCCTTTGCTCGGGGCGAGTCTTTTTTCTGCGTATTTTCGTGCACAACAATTCCAACCTGAATTTCTTGTGGGCCATTTGTTGGGTGAGTCCCTAAATTCGTTTCTGGCAAGGCAGTGCATTTCCACGCTATAACAGAATCGGGACCCACAAGCCAACGCAAATCAAAATTGGATTTCCACACGCACTTTACTCGAATAGCTTCGCTTCGACAACTCCCTGCTCTGTTCCAGCGCTTTCCGTCATTGCTCATGTAAAGGCTTTAGGCTGGGACATACATCACCTGGAAACTCGCTGTCTGGCAAGCAGTCTGCAAATGCAGAGCAAGCCTGACGTTGAGAATGGCAACACAAAGTTCGGTTGTGCTGAAGAATACTAGCTGAGCAGCACATCTAGACTGCATGTTTGATAAAAATATTCGAAACAGAAACAAGCCCCGGGCATCAGCTTGTTGCAGCCCATTTCCATCAACAAGCCAACAGCTCCTGCACTGAAATGCGGAGCGTGCAGGTGATTGAAGAAACCTATATCGTCATAGCTGCCAGCCTTGATGGCCAGAAGCGAATTACGATCTGAGTCCCTGGTCTTTGGTAGAATACTCCTGGCATAAAGGGATCGAACAAACACTCAAAGACTGACTGAAAAACTTGTCCAAACTACTATACTTCCAAACAGCAGGATGCACGTCCGCAGCACACGCCAGCAAGGATGTAGTCACCGTTGATGAACCTGAGTGCAACGACGTTTCATTGACCCTTGCGATTTGCATTTGATCTTCCAAGAGCCCAGCTCGTTCTCACGGTTCAAGGATCGACCAACCACCTCCCAGTGCTTTCGTTCTTGCTGCTTTCATCTTCAGCAAGCCTGGCCTGGATGGAGGAAGGAGCTGTTGTGCAACGTACCTGGTGCTGGTCTGAACCCAAATCCAAAGATGTTGGCAACAACTTGTCATGCGCTTGGTGTGTACATGCATGTTGTAAAGAAAAGGCAAAGCATATCTTTCAGTAAACAGTGAACGGACGCAACAACATCCAAAAATAGTTGTTTGCTCAAATTTCCGAAGAAACTAGATGCTGGACTATTACTTCAACATTCCGACTGGGTGGACTGACACATCAGTTTTCTGGCGCAGGAGACGGAGAGTTGACATGACTCACACACACACATAAATTCCGATCTCAGACCATCAAGAGAAATGATGGCTATGCAGGGTTCAAAAGGCTTGCAAAAAAGATGCGGAGCTGGGGAAGTACCAGCGGGTTCGTGTTTTTTTAGCGTGCTGCACACAATATACTCAACACATAATTTTGATACCAACTTGGGTATTGAGTCAATGCAGGGTTCATGCTCAGGAGTCGGATATTGCTGACAACACCGTGAAACTAGCAGCTAGCACAAAAGATTGCAAGTGAAATTTCGCACAGTTTGTCTGCCTTCAGTGGTCTGGAAGCTTTTGGGTCTATGCATATAATATCTTCGACAGCTGGTGAGTGGCATGTGTTTGACAACCCTTGTGCACGTTCTCGTGAGTCGAACGCTGCTGACTCGAGTCCACGGAATGGCGTTGGCATTCTGCGTTTTACATGCATATCAACATACGTACAGTATGTATGTATATATTAGAGAGATCATGAGAGATCTATGTGTGGCATGACAAATAGATCATGCTGTCACCCAAATAAACTCACCAACGGCGAGGCCGGAGTTACTATTCCTATTGTAATTCTATACTGTAGCTCAAGACTGTGATAAAGACTTCTGATTTGCCCCTTCTGGATCCTTCAAAGTCCTTTAGGTCTTCTCTACACTATCACCCCAGCAGCTCACTCCTTGGTCCAGCACAAAGCAGGAGCGTCTGGATTCCCAGACAAACCATTCGAGCAGTGACACACCTGGATGAGCCTAAGCGGATTGTTTTGGAATTTAGGCAATGAACACAACTTGTACAAGTGCCAAGCACTACCTGATGCCTCGGAAAAGGCAGCGCACCGGTCACCAGCAGCCTAATGCATCAAGCGGCAAACTAGTGTTTCAAAACATGTCCACCTCATGCCCAGAAATAGTAAGGAAGAAAAATATGTATATATATATATGCAAACATTGATTGGAAATCCTCAGAGGGAGACGGAGAGATCACCACGGAAAATCCAATAGTAAAGTCGAGAAGCCAAACTTGGCCTTGGCCCGGAGTGGTCTAATCTCTGCTCGTCTTGGCACAGCTGAGCTCTCGACTCCACTAGTCCGTCTGGGTCAAGTAACCACCTGTCTGTGCCTAAAGCTCAACATGCTTCGCGATGTGATTGCCATAAATGCTGGTGTGGTGCAAAAGTGTTGTGTCGCCCTAGCACCATTTCAATGAAATCACGTATATAATGCTCTGGCTCAAACTCGAGTCTATGAAGAACCTGATCAAAAGACCTTCGGACTGGTCTGCATGAAAAGCCAAGTCAATTCTGGGGCAAAGTGCGTGAGGAGTATCGGATAAGGTGCTTGGTACCTGTCAAATTGGTGCTGCGCTTCAGTAGCTACATTCTCATTTTGCTCAAGCACCTGGCTGAACATATGCGGGCCGTCCTTCCATAATACCGGCAAGGAGGTATGACCTTGGTTTCTCTTTCGAGACACTTGGACTTTGAATGACTTTCCAAAACTTCAGAATCATTGGATAGGCTTTTAAGCACAACATCGGTGCAAGTTTGGCACTCCATACGCTCAAGGATAGAGATTTGTGCTGTGGAATGCTTTCAAGTGGTACAGTAGTACCCTGTGCCATCAGCCTACTTAAAACATCTTAAAACTCTGCAGTCTTGCATTCCTTCCAGGTGTCTCCACCAGAGCCCGGGGGTGGCAAACACAAAAGAATGTGTGAATTCTAGGAAGAGATCAAATAGCAGCATATCAACATATCTCGTTGTGTAGTTACAGCAACTCACCGGTCACATGCTACCTCCGTGCCTTCTCCAAGGAACACATTTCCTGGTCACTTTGGGGCAAGTATGTGAGCAGTTGCGGGGCAAGCATGCACAGTGGCACTCGAGCGTGGAGCGCCTGCGAGTGCCCGACCACAAAACAGACACACAAGATCGCAAACCACACAGATCGCAGAAGCGTCACAAAACACAAGTGGCAGCGCAGCTCGCCGCAAATCCCTGCAGATCAGGACAGCAGAGACAAATCATCGCAATTCATAGAAATGTTGCATATGGATGCATAATCAGAGCAAGCAAACCACCATCACCGCAATTTGCCAGGACTGAAGCTACCTGTCACTCAAAATGGCACATCACACCTCATGGCCCCAACCCGTTTCTTCTCTCCCAAAACCCAAACTCCTGATGCCGGCATTTCAAATCCCCTTGGTGAGAGCACTTAGTCCTCGCTCAACATAAACAGCTTTTACTTCAATCTTGAAATCTACTGAATCTACTGTGATGAGCGGTGCCCCAAAGGACACTTTACCAAATGTGGCTAGTCACGTGTCGATACAGAATACGCTTGGTGGAAGGATAGCAATGATGTGGAAAAGGTTGTGGTGGGATGGTGGAAGGTGCAAAGATTCATCCATGTGGACAAAGTCCATGTTAGACTGAAAGAATTGCAATTGATGCTGTGCAGTAGCAAATCAAAAACTGATTTGACTTGGCACAATGCCCATTGATTCGAGAATTCTCTGCCTCGTCGACAACAACACATTTCGTGGCGTGTTCATGATCCCTCTGTCTACGAACTGAAGCCAAGCCTCTGCCCGTCGTCCCATCATGTGGACAACAGCTGGAGCAACTACAGCCCTGCAGTTGAAGGATTGGTTTTCCATGAAAAGAGATTGAAATGCTCTGAAGCTCAAATCTGCACAGTCTTCAGTAGTGGGCACACAACTTGTTCCCATAATCAAACCAGGTTCAACTACTTAAGGTCATACAGTTGAAACAGAATCAAAAAAAATTCGTAGACTTTTGAACCACTAAATCACCTGGTGTCAGGATCGAGGCAAAACCTGCCCTCAGTCGGCTCCCAAAACCTCAGCTGAATAAAGTTGGACTTCAAACCAAGTCGTCTAAACCGTCTAAACCCTCATCGACTTCTTTGCAGTTAAGCATCATCCACTCAAGCTCAATATGACCAGGGTCTTCAAAAAATGCAGCCTCTGAGAAGGCTATGCAGTAGCTGTCCTCAAACTCACAAGCTGCTCAAGTGTTCATCACACCTTTCTGTTTCAGAATCATGGTGACAGCAGTATGCTGGAGTGATTTTACGTAGATTTAGGTTGAGTCACTACATATACAAGCCATCCCATGAGTCTTGGTTGGCCAGGACCTTTAGTTCTACAAACCAGTCCCTGCCTGGCCGACCACGACAATAATCCAGCGGTGTTCCTCGAAAGCTTGTCTGCATTTACACAGCCGGCATGGAAACAGATTCAATGTGTCTCAAGAGACTACTACACATACATGCATGCATGCATACATACCAAACCAAACCAAACCAAACCAAAACCAAACCATACCATACCAAACCATTACGCTGCATTGCATTGCATTACACTTCACTACTTTACACTACCCTGCCCTACCCTATTCACATACATGCATGCACCCATCCATCCATCCATCCATCCATCCATCCATCCATCCATACATACCATTATATACATTACATTACATTACATTGCATTGCATTGCATTGCATTGCATTGCATTACGTGACCTTACCATACATTACCCTACATCACCATACATTACCATACATACATACATACATACATACCATACCATACCATACCATACCATACAGTACAGTACAGTACAATACAATACAATACAATACATTACAATACAGGGACGCTGGAGTTGTGACCTGGGAGCGGCCAAATCTATTGTACAACCGCCAGAAAGAAGACTGGCAACAAACACTCGATAATGATCACACAAGCATCTACCAGCATGCCGTGGCCCCCTTTGGAAGCCATATTCTCGCTGTTCTGTGGTCATCAATGCCCAGTTGGTGTGTTCAGGGCCACACGCATTTGTGTGGGCTCGCAATGAAAAGGATATTAATGTCAGGTGAGCCCCGCACTGCAGCTCCTTGCGTTCCTTCTTGAGGTTGGTGGTCAGGATGAGCTTACCCTCCGCATGATTTGCAGTGGATGCGTTGGCCTGTTTGCCACAGACGGTGGCTTGGGTGCCCTTGCTGTTCGGCCGAAAAAAACTGGTCAATGCAGGTGCTTGTCAGGAAGGCTGAAAATGTTTCCTCCTTGGTGCGTTTGAGCAAGGAGACGCCGCGCTTGATGCACTTGATGTAGGCTGCCATTTCCTGGAAAGCGCAGGTCTTTGATGACTTGGGCCCTTGTTGGTTTGCGCTCAACTGGTCGGTTTGGCTGTGGCTCTAGAGGCTGTTGCTCGTCGATCAGAACTGTGGGCAATCTTCGGTGAGTTTGCCTTCAATGATGGCCACGGTGAGGCTTGGAACTGCTGTCAGGCATGGGGAAATAGAAGGCAGAGACGTCTTGCACTGAGGGCCGATATAGGCTAGAAGTGGGGCCCACGCGCTAGCAAAAAGGTTGAGTTGAGCAGGACATTTACAGTCCGGGGGCATAAAGGTTGAATGGGGCAGGACATTCGCAGGTCGGGGGGTGCGCTTGTCTGGTGTTCGTTTCTCCCGTCTTGTAGCTGGACTCATAAACTCGGCGTGCTGCTAAGAGCGGCGCAGTCTAAAGTTCACCGCCAAGATCACTTGTAGTCTTAAGTTTACGGCTGAGATCATGCGATGGGCAACATCGAGAAAACACGACTGCCGTTATGAGGTGAAGTCATGTTGAGTACAATATCTGTTCTGTTCAACCATCAACATGTATACGTGTGTTTCTGTGCTGGGCCCACAATACATAGTATATACATGCACTGTTGTGACGGATGTCATTGATACAGCCTACAAGTCTGTCTTCTCCGCCTTCTCTCCCTCTCTCTCCCTCTCTCATTCCCTTCGAATTACTCTTTTAGCCACAAAAAAGCAGAGGGCTGAGAGACTCAGCGCATACATACATACATACATACATTGATACATACATACCATAACAAGACAAAACAAGACACGACACGACCCGACACGCCACGCCACGGCACGGCACGGCACGGACACGGACACCGAAAAAGATACCGACACCGACACCGACACCGACACGGAACGGACAAGGACACCGACACGGAACAGACAAGGACAAGGACAAGGACACTGACGCTGACACGGACACGGACACGACGCGACAAGACAATACAATACAATACGATCACGCGCGCTCGGAGTCCACGGGAAACGCAGACGAGCGTGTTGCTCAGCCGCAGGTCGAAGCAACTAGACAAATCCCCAAAGACATGCATTCAAAAATCACAGACAGGGATCCTCCAAGAATCGATCTCACGGCCGGCGCCTTTGGCGAAAGCACGTGCGATCAAGACCCTACAATCATCTGTGTGGTACGGTGAAGCCCCAACAACGCACCCTTGGGGCAACACACCACCACACGATCGTGGCTTTGTGGAGTTGAAATCGCCAGCATAGGCCTGCGCATTTTCAAGCCTAGATAAGTGCATCATGGCAGCGCGGAGAACTTTGTAAATATCGTAAAAAGTCAGGTACTGCGGGTCTCCGACAATCTTGAAGCCAGAATTGTGGAAGAGAACGGCCAACTCGCAAAAGCTGAAACTCTCTTCAGTATCAATGCGCCAACGCAGGCCGGATAAAAAACGGCAAGTGGAAAACCAATTCTCTTGTGTACCTTTCCATCGAACAGGTGGAGGGCACTCTTTGGGAATCTCAGGCCGCCACGTGTGATGCCTTTTTGAAAGGCCCCATGGCCATTGACTGAATCGAGCTTGGCGTGCTTCCTTTGTGAGAATATCAGGCGTAGCCGCATTGGCATGGTCTTGGGAATGGCAGGATTCATGGGTTGGAAGCAAACAATGTAAGCTGATAAGCCATTCATGATGCTTCTGTGACTGGCGAAAGCTTCTGCGCAAGCATCTTGGCAGTTCTGTCGCAGAGCCTGTTATTCAAAATATGTTCAGCCGTGGAACCTACTGCCTGGGCGAGTTCCTCAGTTAGGAGGCCATCAGGTACTCTTTCAAGCTTGTGGGCAGGAATCCACGTGACATGAAACGGCCGCGGACACTGCTGCTTACGTAACCCCAAGATGCTGGCAAAAGTGCGCCACCATTCAGCACACCTCGAAGTGGGGTCAGCTGCACCACCCTGGCACAGAAGGTTGATATTCTTGGCAACCGCCCAACAGTCTGTATAGACATGTACACATGTTGTTGCTGTGATGCAAACCCATAAAACAGCACAAAGCTCGGCAACATATGCGGATATGGCCCAGTGTGAAATTAGGCCTTGTTTGATGACATTCTTGGTCTCGTCAACGACTGCGAATGTGGCAGTCATCAGCCAGAATTTATTTCCGTGAACCAGTCAGCCATCTGTCCAATAGCGGCGGCAGCAACTGCTATCGAATTCATTGGCAACCGGAATGTCACTCGCGTGTGCAAACTGCAATCGCCTTTTTGCGATAAACAAGGGGTGCTCCACATGTCCAAGTAACTGGAAGTTGGTGCCAAGTTCATCTTCAGCAGGGCGGCCAATTATTTCGCGCAGATGGACACACTCTTTGACCAGGTGGAGCATAGACTCCTTCTCGACCTTGCAAAATCTGCATACCGCGGAGCCGGCCCATCCAGAACCTGCAAGATGATCATTAGTCAACGTGCAGCCAACCAGGATGGACTCAAGTCGATGTCTGGCTGGGGCGTCCCCATTGTACCGACCGATCGGTAGCTGTCGGAGTGGGGCAGTGGTCTGTTGATGGTCGAAAATGCGCTGTGTGCGATGAAAATCCTTTCTCTTGGATTCACCAGTGGCTTTGTAGCAAGCGTCTCTTGCAACGTAAGCAAGGACTTTGTTGGCATCCTTGGCACTCAAAGAAACAAGAGGAACTGGCTGAGAGTGACAAAAGGAAATGGCAAGCTGATCGTTAATCACAAGACCTAACGTGTTAGCAGCATTCTGAGGAATGTGTGCCATGTTTATGTAGCCAAGTTCGTTGGAGCATGGGAACCGTGTGAGGAAGCATGTGGCACATACGGATGACCTCTAACACAGTATTGAAAGCACATGCAAACTTAGGGTCAGTTCGGTGTGGAGCGGAGAGAACAGCCTGAAGAAGGCTCTTCGCTCTCCACTTTGGTTTTCCAACCCACAGCGCACGAGCAATGGCATTTTGAATGGAGTTGATTGCCTTCTGTGGAATCTTGGAAATGTGGGAACCAAAAGCAATCTGTGGAATGACCTTAGAAGCCTTAGAGCCAATGAGGTAAACACGAGTTTGGTGTGGCACAGGAAGTGCAGCAATGTTATCAATATCCTCGAGCACTTTTTTCAAGCGGGCGTCCTCAAAGCAAAAGGAATTACGGTCAGACACATACATCTTAGTTCCTAAAACTTCAATTTCAAGCTTCACAGGGTAATCCGGAAAGGCTGCTCGGGTCTCACTGCGGCCTTGTGACGTGGCGGAATCTGGGGCAGCGACAAGAGTGCCCCCACATGGTGTTTGTGAGGAACCGGACTTGTGCCAAATGCACGGTAGAAGGACTCCGAGACACGGATTCCAACCCCTAGTTTGGAAGTTCTTAACAGCAGACCTGTGGTTGTTCTTACCGACCCTGGTCTTGCAAACACACGATGTCGGCATCCCACGTTTTCCAAAGAGGATTGGTCGCAATGGACCCAATATTCGCAGACACCAAGCTAGTGAGGTGAGAATCGGGGCCCTCACCCGGGTAGCCGAGGGTGGCATCAAAGTTACATTGTTTAGATGACCACGAGCGAAACCACGGTGCGAGTGGAGGAGGAGCGCAAGTGGCATTTTCACCTGCTGGCAAAGTTCGTTGGAAGCAACAAGTCTGTGATCCGAAAATGAATTGCAAATGTAGGCCACCCCGCAGCAGAAAGAGACACACCGGCCAAAGACCAACGATGTCGGTCCACAAAATCCAAGTACGCCGAACAGGCTGCAGGCTAAGTGGCAAGTCCAAAGACGTTAACGGCCGGACAGACACAGGGACGCATGTCGTTCCCTGAGGCAGAAGTTAAGTCCAGGCGAACTCCCCTTGGCATTCCCTGCAAAGGAATGAACCCACATGAAGAAAGGAGAGGGTCAGGGCCCACGTGCCAACACGAAAACCAGAACAGACGGCAAAGAAAATCCAAAGCACAAAGCGCGAAATCCATCGAGAAAATCTGAGAGGGGCCCCCCCTCCGACCGGTCAGGAAGACTTAGGGATCTTTGGGGGTGGAGTTTCCCCAGAAGGTTCCCGGGCTCGGT